CTCATACATTTTTAGAGGCATGACCAATAGCTCCAAATATAAGCCAATAGAAACTTCTGTCTAAACTCCCAGAAACTATCTAAGGAGATTTAGCAATTTTATGTGTAAACATGTATATGCATATGTGTCTTCAAAATGTGATTTGTTCCTAAAAGTTGAACATGATTATGTCAGATGTTTTAGAAGTAAACTAATGACATCTGTTGTAAAGCTCGAGTTCAGCTGTGAAAATGACCAGAGTCTGCATACAGATGCCTGCTAAGGTTTTCCTTGCATCCATATCACATTTCATCTATCAGACTAATAAATCAAACATATTATTATTATAGGAAATCCTCTTTTCTATTGGAACTTTCCCTCAAAGAGCATGGTATCACTTAGGTTTCAAAGGCCTTTCTTGCTTGTATTCAGGATTCAGAAAAAACAGTAAAGTGTGAAAGGAGAAGGTTCAATGAAGCAAATAATTAATTGTAAGAATCTTAATTTTCCGGGGAGTAAGAGGTTAATGAAGCATGTAATTGAGCAGAATTTTGTAGATTTCAGCTGTTAATATCTCTGAAATTAAGATTTACCACAGATGAGCTAAATATTGGAAAATATGAGGCAGATAATAAAAAGGTAACTTTCTGGATACTGAGACAATAACCTTCCTCCTTTGCACCAATGACACAGAGAAAATTTCCCAACGATCGAGGTAATGGGTGGTATGATGTTTGACGATGCAAAAATTAGGAAATAGAGAATCCTTTTATTGTCTATCTGGATGGCATTATCATCAGGAAGATATTAATGACATAGGCAAGCCTAGTTATTGCCAGTATTTATTTTCTTCAACATGTTTTTAACATTATAGAAGATCCTCTATTGCAGGTGATTTGTAATTATGTAGAAAAAAAATTAAATGGTTATTTAGAAAAATATGAGCAGTTGTGCCATGTCTTCTTTGGTAAAAATGTATATGACAACATATCCTCTTAGCATTTATTAATACCTTACATAGATTAAATAATATAGATAAAAAATTTGAATTTTTTCTAGGGTTGAATGTAAATAAAGTAAAAGTGTTACAGTAGCTTAACATTTAGGGAAATTTGCAAAGAAGACATTAATGTTTGATTGACATTGACAAAATTACATCTTCTAAGCTCATCTATAATCCTGTGTTGGATAGAAAACATTTTAGGGCCAGGCACAGTGGCTCATGCCTGTAATTCCAGCACTTTGGGAGGCTGAAGCCAGTGGATCACTTGAGTTCAGAGTTTGAGATCAGCCTGGGTAATAAATTGAAAGCTCTCTACAAAAATTACAAAACTTAGCCAGGTGTGGTGGCATGTGCCTGTAGTCCCAGCTCCTCTGGAGGCTGAGGTAGAGGATCACTTGTGCCCAGGAGGCAGAGGCTGCATCGACATGAGTTCACACCACTGCACTCCAGCTTGGGTGACAGAACAGGAACTTGTCTTACAATTAAGCAATTAAGAATTTATGACCATTCTTATAATTTGTTGAAAATCACTCTTAATTTGTTCATTTATGTACTTACACATTTATTTATGAACTTAAGCATTTATTTCGTAGAAATAGTCATCTATGAACACATGAAAGCCCTCTCCTGGGATTCCTCTTTATCCCAGATATGGCCACTGGATCTTGTTTGTCTAAACAACAAAATCATCCCTGTCACTTTAAAAAGTGTAGGTTTTAAGACTTTATTTTAAACCTGTCAAATATGTGTCTCCAGACCTATAACAGATCCACGCACAAAACTGATACATGGTTCTTGTACAGAAGCTGATCCAAACCAAACTTTGCCAAGATTATATCTAACTTTTAATTAATGGATCTCATTTCTCTTCTTATACTCACATATTATCTTTCTAGGTGCTCATGGAGTACTTGCCTGCCTACATGTCACCTGTAGTTGAATAACCAATAGTCATCACAAATTTAAGATTGCTAATACAGGAATCTCTTTCCCACAACACACTGTCTCCCCAAGGATTTTCCATCTGAATAAATGGATTACCATTTACAATTTTGCTTTGGCAACCCTTCTGCCCTTCACCAAAGGAATGTTTCAATAAGAATAAACAAACAACAAAAAATGTTTGCACCACTCTTAATTCTGCTTTTTCTCCTACTCTTCCACTCAATACTTAATCCATCAACAAGCTTTGACAGCTCACCTCCAAAATATATCCCCCATTTTTTGCTTTTCTTCACCTTGGTTGCTATCTGGCTGTTGTTTTGACCTACATCACAGCATGTGCTCTGAACTGGTTCCCTGACTCTCCAATATGCAGATGACAGCCTTTGTAGTCTTCAAAATGTCCATCAGAGAACATCACTCCCGTTCCAAAGATTCCATTGCAGCGAGAATAAATAAGAAATCCCACATCTCTATGTGATTTGGTCCCTGTCTCTGCCTCCTCAAACCTTAGCATTCCACCTCTTACTGTGTGGTTCAGCCTGGCAGCCAATGGCCAGTTTTCTGTTCCTCTACCACAGCGAATGTCTTCCCCAAATGCGACATTTTCACTAGTGTTCCTCTTCTATGTGAAATGCTCTGTATAGTGGTCTCAAGTGGATGGTTGCTTCCTGTCAAGTCTCAACTCAAATGGCCTCTCCTCATTGGCCTTTGGTAACTTCCAATTCAAATTAGCCATCCATCCAGGCCATTCTCTATCACATCCACACATTTTGTCATCGTCACATAATTGACTCTTTCCTGAAACCATCCTGTGTTCTGTTTGTTTGTTTATTAACTGTCTTCTGCCCTCTTCCATCCCCTACCCCCTCTTCCTCAATCCTAGAATATTAAGTTCCTGGAGAACATAAATTTGTCTGATTTATTTCTGAATCTCCAAACACAAGACAGTGCTGTCACTTTGAAGGGTACCCAACAAAAATTTGTTGAATGAAGAAAGCATTATTGACTAAGAGTAATGCAGAAAATAGGACTGAGTATATCATTGAACAATTCTAGGTTTCAACAGTCTCATCTGTAAAATGGGAAGAAGAGTACTTTAACTTCCTAGGCAGAGGATTGTACTAGATAATTTCTTATGGTTACTTCTAGTTCTAAGTTTTACATTGGCAGCAGTACTAGATTTTAATTTGGTGGTAACACATTATGTTCAGAATTTTCAGAGTATTTTAAAATTCAGACTTTAAAATTTAAAAAACACAAACCTCTGAAAACTTCTTCCATTATACTTCTAAGCTTATCTACAAAATCACTAGTGTTTGTTGTTGGTGCATACATTTTAACTTTTGAAAGAATGAGGTTTTATTTTATTGTTCATCAACATAAGCTTATTTGGTGTAATGATATGAATTACCCATTATAAGAAACTCAAAGATATGTATTAATAAAGAAGTATTTTACTCTCTTGTCTTTTAGTTAAAGCCCAAAGTTAGGAGTAGCTGATGTTAATTAGTTCAGCTAATTTAAGAACAGCTGATTTTTAAAAAGAATTTTGCTAAATCACATGTATTATCTCATTAGAGTCTCAAATTAGAAAAAAAAAATCGAGAAGAGAAGGTAATGTTAATTATCATCCTTTTACAGATTAGGAAAGTCAAGTTTGGCACTTTGTTTAAAATTATAGAACCCAGGGTCTGGGCAAGGTGGCTCACTCTTGTAATCCCAGCACTTTGGGAGATCAAGGTGGGTGGATCACGAGGTCAGGAGATTGAGACCATCCTGGCTAAAATGGTGAAACACCCGTCTTTTCTAAAAATACAAAAAAAAAAAAAAAAAAATTAGTTGGGTGTTGTGACATGTGCCTATAGTCCCAGCTACTTGGGAGGCTGAGGCAGGAGAATTGCTTGAACCCGGCAGGCGGAGGTTGCAGTGAGCCAACATCATGCCACTGCACTCCAGCCAGGGTGACAGAGTGAGACTCCATCTCAAACAAACAAATAAACAAACAAACAAAACAAAAACAAAACAAAACAAAAACAAAACAAAACAAAAATGTAGCACCCAGGAAAAATGTATTGTTTCATTGCCCTGTTCTTAACTGACTCATAATTTCATCAGCATGGTCTATAGGAGAGGTTTAATTCTAACCAATAAATAGATTTAAAAATAAAATCTCTTGGTTCCCCTTGGTCAAGGAGAATCACCTTGTTCTAAAGCCTTCAATGGCTAGGAAGTAACCATTGCCAAGAGGAGTTGTTCTCTTTCTGGGGGAGAGGGGGAACTTGGTGCAAGGCAGGGTTCTTATGTAGAAAAAGACAATTTTTAAAAATTCAACATATTGAGGTTATCTTTTTCAACCTATTCCCTTGGAACTACTTTTCAAGCATTCTGTAAATCTTTCCCTTATAGAATCCAGAAAATTTATAAATGGTAAAAATAGTGGCAATTATATGAAGTGAACTGTAGGAAAACTTAATTTCTTTTGGATCAAAGAATCTTTCGAGGAGCTGATTAAAAGTTCCTCTATGCAGAAAATGCACAATACATACACTTCTCATATTTTCTCAGTTTCCAATTTTATTAGGAATTGGGATATGCAAGAAGTAATTTCCAGGCAAAGTATTATTTAAGAGACAGCATTTTTGAATAAGGCATTTCAGAAGGTGCCCTATTCACATAATTTGAACAAAAAACAAGTCTCTGCTGTCTCGAACCATAATAATGAGTTAAGCAAAACAGAGACATACTTAATATTTGACAGTTTTACCCTGTGAAGTTAATAAGTAGAGATTTTTAAATCCTGGGAATGTGCTATGCACTATGGACAACTTGTTTCCAAGTTTAATTTGGTGGGTAAAGAATGGAGAGTCTTTTGCATCTCTTAGCAAAAAACAGAATGAATTTGATTTGCAATGGCAAAATGATTTTATTTCATTCTTTAGCATCCCCAATTGGAAATTAATTTTATCTGTGAGATACAAGAAGCTTGCAAAGCAGCTACTCTTTTTGCAGTTAAAACAGATTCACTTTTATAATTGCAATCTTTCAGAAAATAAGAATCTTAAGCAGTTCTTACCTCATCGGAACCAGATCCAAAAATCAGCAAGTCAAAAGGAATTGCTGCAACCATGTCAATCAGGAACCAGCCTTTGAAGTAGTGTATTGCTATTTTGGCGGGATCACTTACCACTTCTTCATTCTGATTTACATATGTTGTTCTGAAGTTTATTAAAATATCTATGATAAACATAATATCCACAATCAAGTCTACCACATTCAAAGGGCTACAAGAATAGCCACATTCTCGTCTTTTCTGTTCTTCTCTGTCATTGAGGAGGAAGGCTGCAGAGTAGGGAGTAAATATAGCAGTGTATATGACCAACAATAGAATAAGCCAGTCCCAGACTGCCTTGAAAGGGCTGTAGTGCAATATCGTAAACTTGTTGATGCGTGGTGTCTGCAGTTTGTATTCAGGTAGGACGTCTGCTCCTAAAGAGAGAACCTGAATGTGGAAAAGAAAATCATACATTACATAAAACATCATTTTTAATTTGGAAAACCTACAAAATATTAAGGTCACTAATTATAGAGTAAAATTTACTAGAGAGAATTCATGTAACTTGAAAGTATTCATGAAACACACACATACATTAAATAAACCCGTATAAACTCCCATTATGCAGTATATTTGGCTCAAGAAAATCACACTGGCATTTCTTGATAAATATCAATCTCACTAAAAAAAAATAATAAATATCGCTGCTGAGATACTAAGGAATGTTACCATTTCCTCTGGAACATAGTACTTCTCAGATGTAAAAATACATGGCTGTTTTTAGAAAAAAAAAAAGTCGGTTTTGATAAATTAATGCAGTTTTCAAATCTAGGAAAGGATTAGTTGTGATGAATAGAAGCAGTCTAGTTGGATCCATGGTCACATCTAATTTACATATATTTAATTTATAATTTAACCTTGATACATTAAACCCAACTCATTCAAATTTTAATTAAGAAGAATCTTGCCGGGCGCGGTGGCTCAAGCCTGTAATCCCAGCACTTTGGGAGGCCGAGGCGGGTGGATCACGAGGTCGAGAAATCGAGACCATCCTGGTCAACATGGTGAAACCCCGTCTCTACTAAAAATACAAAAAATTAGTTGGGCATGGTGGCACGTGCCTGTAATCCCAGCTACTCAGGAGGCTGAGGCAGGAGAATTGCCTGAACCCAGGAGGCAGAGGTTGCGGTGAGCCGAGATCGAGCCATTGCACTCCAGCCTGGGTAACAAGAGCGAAAACTCCGTCAAAAAAAAAAAAAAAAAAAAAAGAAGAAGAAGAAGAAGAATCTTCCCAATCTGTTTTTAACATTAGAGGAAAAAAGGTAAATGAGATTAAAATGAACACAAGGGAGTTTTTCCTCAAAATGTTGAGAGGGAGTATTTGATATTCTGGGACAAATACACTTTCATTCCAACTCTTCCATCATTTAGAGAATTGCAAAAGGAAAATGCTAAAAGATATTCAGAATACTGACCTGGAAATGTTGCAAAATGTTTAAACCCAAAGTGGTACTTAACTTCCAAAATTTATTATACTTAATATGGCATCAAATGAACTATAACAGTCCACCTTTTAGAGTTTTAGTTTACTTGAAAGCTAAATGACAGTTTTGTCTCTACCAAGCAGAAAAGTACATAATTTAGTGATTTAAGACTAAGTTTTAAAAACAAAAGTCAAAACAAAAAGGTTACCTGGCTACCCAGTAAAATGTAATTTATTGGTAAAATATAAGCCTTAATATATGTGTTTTAAAAAGCTGAAATTTTGTAATGGCTCCACAGATGGCATACAGAGAGCCATTTAAAAAGGGAAATGTGGGTTATAATTTAATGCTATGAATATCCCATACACATACAATGGCTCTATTTCAAAGTTAATTTCACTGAGTACATTTTCATAGACTAGATTCTTCTAAATACAATTAATGTATCATCAGCTTTGCAGCATGGATCTCAGGTAATTCCCCATTGGTTAGTCAAAAGTGTTAGTTCTGTGTTTTTGGCAATTCTATTCATGTTGGTTTTAATTTGACTATAATAATGAATTATGTCAGACATAATTGAAATTTAATTCTTATATTTATTGTCATATGTCATAACATTTTATCCCCATATAATGAGTTATTATCCCTAAAACTTTAAAAGTTAAATAACTCCAAAAGAGACAAAATATAACTTTAAAATATAACAAAAGATTCAGCTAAAATAGGGAAAGTTGCTTTTTGATAACTACTAAATTGCTTTAACTAGTTTTGAAAAAATTAATAAAGAGCCTGATCTGACCATTTAATCAATCCAGAGTACTTTGAACCAGCCAGTTTAAGAGAGAACAGGGCTTCATTTTAAGCTATTATGAGAAATGATGGCAGCTAATTATTAGCAAAAGAGCAATCTGGAAAATAAAGTGATTTTGTTGTCTGTAAAATACTAAAAGCCCAAGATATGCATATATATATGAGTTTCAAAATCCAAATGGGAATAGATTATTTGTCATTTTAGAAGTACAGATTAATAGAACTCTGATCCCATTATGCTTAGTATAGATGATCAGTGTGTGACATTTTGGTCTGTTCAAAATGAATTATGTCTAGTTCCTTTCTAAAAAACCATGACTAATCAGTATATGGAAAGCAAAGTCTACAAATTTATTTTGGCTTTCAATGCCATTGAAGTCATTTAAAATATGTACCCATTCTTTGTTTCTAGTCCCTTCTTTCATTAGATTCCTCTGCGTACCCAGGGTACTCCAGCAAAACCAGACTAAAATTTTTGAGCTGCTGAGATCTTTCCATATCACTAAATCCACAAATCTCTCTCATATAAAAAGGTATGTAGTCAATCAAAGAGGACAAATAAGTCACTTTTAATGACAGATATATTTGTGTGAGTTTGCTCACTGCTTAGGTGACAAACTTCTGTTACTAACCTCCCACATTAGGCAATTGCAATACCTCTTTCAGCAGGAGTATAAATTAGAATGCAAGCAGCATCTTGGAACTGTGGCTGAAATTCTTTCCATCTCACATATGCAGACCTTCATTTAACATTTAGATGACCATTGTGCTACAAGCTGGAAATGAAATATGGGGAAGATATGGTCCCTGAGATCATGGTGTTTATAGTCTGTTGGGAGATAGATGTGTGGGAAAATGAGAGTCCTCTTGGGGTCCACTTCACTCAGGGCCTGAGATTGGTGATGGTGCTGGTGGTGGAGGTGGGTGGTCTTCACAGAGGACTTTTGGGAAAAGATGGCAGTTGAGCTGAGACTGAATAGGAGTCAGAAAATGACGCAGGTAGGGGATGAGGAAGTTGGGAAGGGAAGAACATTACAAGCAGAGGGGACAGAAGGAAAAAGGGCAAGAAAGCATAAAATAATGTGCTGTGTGTTGGGGAATTGTATACAGCCTTATGTTTTGCGGAAGAATAAAATGCCAGGGAATTAGGGTGGAGGATGGCCATGGAGAGGGCCAGTTCCAGGTTGCTGAAGGTCTAATGCGACAGGAGAGGAATCTCAGGCTCTGCCCTTTAGGTCAAACTTCTCCTACATGAATAATATACAGGCTCCTATTAAAAGGAAAGACAATTATTGCAGAACCCCAATGAGGATTTATATTATTCTTATTTACAACATTAGATAAATATGTTTAAAAATAAAACTAGATTAGAACTTCTTATGCTTATACCTCTTCATATGACTTGTGGCTTAAATTGTGTACCCTAAAAGGATATGTCGAAGTCATAATCCCCAGTACCTATGAATGTGACCTTATTTGGAAAGAGAGATTTTTGTAGATATAAATCAAGTTAAGATGAGGTCATAGTGGTTTGGGGTTGGCCTTAATCCAATAACTGAAGAGAGAAGTTTGGATATAGAGACACAGAGACACACAAGAATACCATGTGTCATGGGAGCAGGTACAGCTGCAAGCCAAGGAATGCTATGGATTGCCCACAGCCACTAGAACCTCAAAGACAGAGAAGCACAGGATACATTTTCCCTCAGAACTCTCAGAAGGAAACAATCTTGCCAACACCTTGATTTCAGACTTCTAGCCCCTAGAATTGTGCAATAATAAAATTCTGTTGTCTTTAGTCACTCAGCTTGTGGTAGTTTATGATGGCAGCCCCGAAAAAAGTAATACATTGACAAAACAAGAAAATGCTTGAAAATAAAATATTTATAAAACCAGTGAATTTGAACTAACGTCACTAACTTAATATCTGACATTTCTGTATATCAAAAATGATTTAAATTTGACTATTGTGTATGGTTTAATTAACAGATAAAATATTTTACTCTATTCTAATCGTAATGCCTTTTTTGAAAATGTATGTTGTTGGGATAATATTCTAATTTTGAAGATTTAATTGCCATGTCAAGATAATCTAACCTAATTCTTAATGTAAACTCTGTTGCTGTTTGAAAGCCAATTTAAATGGTGTTACTCGAAAACTTACACAAACATTTTTCTTCACTTAACTTTAGCTTTAGAGCATTATTGAGTTCTACATAGGTACTGGCAGTTAATTTTTTATATTCCAATATGCCTATTGATACAGAACCACTGCAATTTGGTAAGCATAACAATGGAGTAGGTTTTGAAAATACATTTGGAAAAATTGGTATGGTACCAAATGTTATGGTACAGGTTCTTTTGACTTTTGCATCATTATGCATGTTTTATGTGATCACTTAATTCTCATGACTTTTAGTAGCTAAAAAACTTCAAAAATCTTTATTTATATAGCATGCCTTAGCATCAGCATCGTGAGGTAAATCCAAATGCAGTGATGGTTACTGTAGTCAGATATATGGCAGTACTTTGTTATTAGGTAATCATCTTAGTGATTCAGAAGATTCTTATATTTATTGTTTTAAATTTTCACCAAGATATAAGAATTTTAAAGACTTTTCAAGAGAACTCACCACCTTTTGAGAATATTTCTTTCTATTGATATCAGTTTAAGAGTTATTAAATGTTATTAGGCAGAGGATTCAAGGTGGCCAAGTTTGGTTTTAGATAGATGCATCTGGCAATGGGATGGAGGAAAAATGAAAGAGAATGAAGACCAGATACGTAGAGATCAATTAGGACCTTGGTACTCCAGGAGGGAAATAATGGAAGCCTACACTAGGAACCAGGTGGAAGAGATTGAGAAGAGGAGACATATTTTAAAAATAAATACATCTCAGACTATAAGGATGAAGAGTGGAGAAATACTTGTTTCTTTGTGGTTCCAATAATAGCAAATCTTATTAGAGCCAATCAGGTAAAATACAAATCTTTGAAGGCTCAACCATGTTTGGAATAAGGGAAAGAGCACCGGACCTTAAATTCCACAATCTGGGTTAAAGTTTGGATACATTTTTTCTGATATGTCATTTAATATCTAGATCTTAGTTCTTTTTTTTAAAAAAAAATCTGTTTAATGTAGATAGTAATCAT